GGGAGAAGGGAGGGGTGGGGGGAAGGGGTTTAATATTTGGTTTTAGTTCTCATTATCCTACTCGGATTTGATTGGCAATAAATTAAACTAACTTCCCCAAGTCGAGTCTGTTTTGCCCGTGGCGGTAACTGCTGCCTGATCTCTCCTGTCCTTCTCTCGACCCATAAGCTTCTCGCTGCAGTTTTTCTCTGTCCTGCCCAGCTGAGGAGGGGAGGGACAGAGCGGCCTTGGTGGGCACCTGGCCTCCAGCCAGGGTCAAGACACCACAGTTGCCCGTCTCTGGACACACTCCAGCACCTCAACGCCCTTCCTGGAGCGAGGAGCCTAAAGCTGAACACAATATTCCAGGTGCGGCCTCGCTGGGGCCGAGTACGGGGGGACGATCCCTCCCCTCGTCCTGCTGGCCGCACTAGTCCTGATACAAGGCAGGGTGCTACTGGCCTTCTTGGCCACCTGGGCACACTGCCGGCTCATCTTCAGCCCACTGTCGACCAAGACCCCCAGGTCCTTTTCCACCGGGCAGCTTTCCAAGTGCAGGACCCGGCGCTCAGCCTTGTTGAACCTCATCCAGTTGGCCTCATCCCATCGATCCAGCCTGGCCAGATCCCTCTGTCGGGTCCTCCTACCCTCAAGCAACACTCCTGCCCAACTTGGGGTCCTCCGCAAACTTACCGAGGGTGCACCCCATCCCCTTGATTTATTGCAAATTAACTTAAAATTGGCATCCCTTATGAAATGACTTGTTCGTTACTGACGGCCCTGCAATGCACGAGAATCGCAGAGGCCGTTTGAGTACTCGGATGCTCCGTGGAAGGCTCCAAGTGTTTTCAGTCTCCAAAAAAAGATTCTGCTGATAAAACAGCGGAGATCGAGCAAGGGTTTAAGCGAGGCACAGAAAAGCATGCTGGGCTTCGGGGAGCAGTAAGGTAGAACCCAAGCTGACAGATAATTTGTTTAATAATTTTTGGTGCTTAATAATTTTTGGTGCTTAGTAAGTTCTGGTGCTTGGCTGGGGGACAGAGGACTGCCGAGTCACCCGCCCTGACTCCTGAAATACTATTATTACTTTCTTCTCCATGTCCCGACAGAGAGAGGAGGTTGGTAAAAGGCAAAGCGGCAGCAGAGCCACTGGAAATTCCTCATTGTGTGTGTGTTTTCTAAAAGATTGTAGAATCATTTTAGGTTGGAAAAGACCCTTAAAGGTCACCGAGTCCAACCGTTAGATCATCAGGTCCAACCGTTAGATCCAGCCCAACCGTTCAAGATGGATTCTGTGATTCCAGGAGAAGGGCGGACACAGGCACCAGACCCGAACGGTCTCACTCCTTCCACTGAGAACCATCGTCTGGTCTCTTGACCTCTACTTACAGGGAGGTTCAGCTTGACGGCGTCCACGGGCTGCTGGAAAGGCCACGCAAACTGGTGCTTCCATAGCGTCTTCAGCACCACCTTGAGCAGGTATTGCAGCTGGTTGGTCTGCCGCTTGGGTTTGTTGGGGTTGGAGGTCTCCGGCGGAGGGGGATTAACGCCTACAACACTGCCTTGTTGGGGTTGAGCCTGTGACTGCGTCGTAGACATTTGGGTGGTTTCTAGTCCATCCCCCATTACCGGCAAATTTCTCAGTCTCGTTCCAGGGCCGCTCTCCGCCGACATGCTATTGATCCCATTGCATTCCTCACCGGATACCCTGCAAAACAAGGAGAAGGGAAACGAGGTCACTTCAACCCCAGGCCTTTGGCACAAGGCACCGCTTAAGAATAAACCGGTGGACCTCCGTCAGACTAGCTCGGGCAACTAGACCTTGCGTCCCGCTCGCTTAGTGACAGCGTTGTGTTGTCCCAACAAACGTCAGCATTCTGCATCCCGGGGTAAGAAAGAATATTCCGAGGCAATTTGCCATCTCTTCCACGCCAAGTATCAGCGTTGCCTCTCCGCTCCTTAGCGAGCGGGAGTTTTACCCCTGTTCTTGCCTAATCTGGTCAATGAGGACTCCAATGTTCTCCTTAAAGAGCCTTCACTGCCTCTAGACGAGGCTTTAACAAGCAAAACGCTGCTCGCTCTCGGCAAGTACCAGCTTCAGCTCCAGGGTTGTGTTCGCCAACACCAGCAAGAGAAGTTAAGTTGGTGTTGGCCGACTTTTAGCTCCAACTAAAGGAGCGCAGGGTGACACATTTATCTCCTTTCAGCTTCTCGGTCAAAGCCCCCAGCCCACCACCATGGGTCAGCTCACCCCAATTTAATGCCAAAATCTGTATTTTAGGTAAACGTTGAGCTTCTGTGGGATGCTTCAGCTGAACCATACGGTGAACAGGCCCACATTTAATCCACACTATCTGCTTTCGGTAGATGATTTAGGTAGATAATCTTTAGGTAAATCATCTAGGTAGATAATCTTTAGTTAGACAATCTTTAGATAGATAATCTTTAGGTAGATAATCTCAGTAGATCATTTAGGTAGATAATCTTTAGGCAGATAATTTAAGTATCATTCCGAAGACCAGAAACTTGGGGAAAAAAGACATTTCTACGGAGCCTACAGACCTCCCCCAGGGCATATTTCGGAGCTCTCCAGAGACCACACGCAGCCCGTCCATCTTCCTAAGCTACAGCTGTGCGAATGGCTCACCACTGAGCCAGGACCAGCTGCCGCGAACCGGCAGCTTCACCGCTACCACGCGGTGAATCCCCACCCTTCGCTGGGCATGTGGGACCTTCCTCGTGTAAGGACACCCTCCGTGACGTGCGTCCTTCGTCTAATTTAACGCTAAGCACATTAGCACGCATTAAGCTTGAGACATGCAGCTCTTAATTAGAGAAGACCACTATCTATTGTGTGAGATGAACTACGAGCTTCGTTATTCACCAGTTTCAAGTGATACTCGGGGGGGAAGTGAAGAAGAAAACGTTTCCCATTCCTCCACTCGTGGGGTTATTGAGTCCTTTCTCAGCTGGGGAAGAACTGATTGGGTTTAGGACTGCCAGCCCTGCACGATCAGGAAAAAAACCCCACCCGGCGCCGAGGTATTAACCTCGGCGGAGCAAAGTTCTGACCATATACTTGGCCTTGAGTCAGTATGTAAGTATATATAGGTACGTATATGCTCGCGACAAGCATCTGGCCACGGGTGTGGGATTTTATTCTGCTGCCGTAGAGCAGCCCCGTGTCCCTGATCGTGGTCTGGCCACGCAGATGTGGCTCTCTGCACGTACCGCAGCAAGGGACTAAGAGCCAGAAAGATGAAGCATCTGTGTGATTTTACCTGCCACGTCCCTCAACTGCTTCCAAGTCCCCATAAAACCTTAGCCTGCCTTAAACCTCTGCTTAAAGTCTGCGGTCCGTTGCTTTTACTGGCCTAAAACTAAGACCGACCCACTAACGCACCAGGGCAACATCAGATTTTGGTCTTTGGCTGTTGGGTTTGAACATTTTCAGGGCTCCAGGTGAGTTAAAGCATCGCTCAAGTGGCAAGATCGCTGCGGCAGGCTCCCTTCGTTCCCCCAGGATATTTTACGGGAGATTTTATAGCTGCGGATACAGGAGTATGACGTCCAGAGAGCTGTTAGCTCAGCTGTCCTGTGAAACCTTTCAACTCCCAGCTTTCATTTGGCTCCTGATTTTCCTCCCCGTTAGCAGGGTAGCCTGCCCACAAGATCTGACTCGAAACACAACACTATTTGGAGGCAATTTGGATTTCCCTCTCTCGCAAAATTCAAGGAATTTTGCTTCGGGGTGGCGCTGATATTCCTCTAGGTCTTGTGTGGAAGGGAAGCTCTCGAGTGATAAACTGTCCTTATCAAGTGGTGGCCAAGCAAAAGGAATCCTCTTTACTCACTGCAAGGGGCTACATTACCTTGTAGGATACATTGCCATATAATTTTGCCCCAGAAAATGATGCAGAGTCAGAAGTTGCTTGGCTTGTCCATCTATCTTCCGTGGCTTCAGGCACAAATGCCTTTAGATACTGTATCTGATGAAACAAACAAAGCAATTAATCTGAGGCATCAACCCAAGGCATCAGAAACGAAGGCTACCTCCAGAGAACTCGGTATTTTGACATGTACAGCAATAGTCCAGCGAAGCAAAGGAATCTGTGGACACCTGCGAATACGAGACACCTACGAAAAAACGAGGTACGGGCACCAGTATTTCATTTTTTTCCAGGCATTTTTCCACCTTTAAGGCAAGCTCTTTCCTGAAATTCATCATTTCAAGGACTGTGACCAACTGGATTTCCTTCTGCTCCCTCTTAACACAATAGCTCTCCCAGAGCCAGCCGTAAGAGGAAGCCAAGGAGTTGGGTTTTTTTGGGTTTTTTTTGTTTTTTTTTTTTTAAAAAGAGAAGGGAAACTATTTCGTCGTTGGTTTAATTTCTTCCCCTTCCACTTGAAAGCGAAGGCTCTAACCGCCCGTACAGGCAGTTAAGTATTGTATCAGATTTACCCTTTTTTTTTTCCACTTATTTAATTTATCCCTTATCTTTTGCGCTATCTTCTTGCTCCTTTGGAGGGATCCTACCAGTCTCCTCTCGCATCTTCAAACTCCAGCGACATTTTTAAAGGGATTAGCTGGAAATAGATCAATTCACACCATTTTTCTCCTCTCTCCCCCAATAAAAGGATGCTTTGACTCTCTCCCCTGGCCTGGAGGTTACGTGACAGCTCCTCTGCGTTATCAGACCACCTGTGTGCCAAAATATCAGGTAAAAAATCAGAAAATTTCCATTTTTAACAGTTGCTTGGCCCAACTTTATGGGCCAAGGGTTCGCAGCCCGACTTGACCTAAGGCGAACACGGTCTCGCCCCCAGCCGTGTTGCCCCAACTCATCCCCAGCCTCGTCTCTCGCCAGACGCACGGCTACGCCGCTGTGTGCACGCTCGGCTGTCGCCAGCTCCTGCCACGCCGCTGCCTCCTACATCTCAGAAAAAAAGCAATTATTGGTACGGAGAAGCTCGTCGAGGGGAGTTTAATGAAACCGGGTTTGGTGTCTCCTCTGCCGTTAAAAATCAGCAGCAAAGTCTGAAAGAATCTGAAGATTTTACTGCACAGTAGAGTATAACCTATAAATCTAATCTGTATCATAGATTGCGCTATAGATGCCACGTCAGGGTTTCCTTAATCTATAAAGAAAATGCTATGTTTGGGTTCTCTTAATCTAATCTATATTCCAGATTAGAAATCTAATCTGAATTCCAGATTGCGCTATAGAGGGTGCTTTGTTCGGGTTTTCTTAATCTATAGATTAAGATGGTGTTAAATTCAGGATTTCTTAATCTGATCTGTATTATAGATTAGAAATCTAATCCCTACTAGATTAGAAAGCTAATCTGTATTATAGACTGTGCTATAGATAGCGCTACGTTCAGGTTTTCTTAATTTCTCAGGATTAAGAAAACCCGAGCATAGCACCACCTTCATCTATAGATTAAGAAAATAATTAATAAGACAAAAATCTTTAATCTGTAGATTAAGGAAACCTGCACCCAGCGCCATCTCAAGACGCGGTGACCAGAACGCCTTTGTCACCCTCACCACTAAGGGCCAGACCAACATACCCCACGTTGTACCTTCTCGTTCGGCAGAAGACAACACATTTATTCATGGCAACGGGGGAAAATCAGGAAAAACGCTTACTTGATGACCGTGATTAATGTTTATGTGCCTCGTTAGGCAAAGGGATAAATGAGATACAGGAGGATGGGTCTCGCTGGCATGGCATTTGGCGCAGAGAGGCTCAAATTCACCGGGGCTCTGCGCTCCCTGCGCTTGGCCGGATCCACGTGATCTTAATGCTCCCTGCCAAAAAAAATCCTGTTTTTTTTCCCTGAGGAAGAGGTGGGAAGGGAAAGGGCTGTAATGCGGCGTGGAAGCCGACAGAGGGAACTGCCAGGCCAGGAGGAGCCCAAGACCTGCACAAGGTCTTCTCCTTCTTCTACCCTAAAGCTGAGCTGGGGGAGACAGGGATGGGGAGCGTGCAGAGACAATACTGGGGAAAAAAATGGATAAATCCGTCTAGAAAATTCACCGTATCGATGGGCTGAAAGGGAACGTGGCCACGGGTCCGGAGGAGAAAGTCAGCTCTAGAGGATACCAGAGACGGAGACCGGCCACGCCAGCCCGAGGAACCACAGGAGAATAAATCTGACGGCTTTGCCGGGCATGAGGCAGCGGTCGGAAACAGAAAGCAGAGAAACCCCTCGCTCTACGGAGGGAAAAATGAAGCGTTGCTGAAAGGGCAGCGACACGGGCTAAGCTTGAAGACTGGGGTCCCGAGGATGGAGGAAGGTGTTTGAGAGTGCCAGAGGACACTGAAGAAGGAGGGATCGTAGGCACCTTCGGTTTGGGAACGTTTTCCAGTCGAAAAGCAGAAATTAATAACTGGGAACATACGGTGGGCTGCCACAGCACCAGCCTCCGAAAAACATCCTAAGGGGCGAAAAAATATCTCCCCATGACTTGAAGAGGGCGGTGTAAGCAAGGAAACCATCAGCAAATGCCGCTTTTTATTTGGGCAGATGGATTATTTCAGGCTGGCTTAAAAGGGCAGATGTTTGAGGCTGAAAAATAAGAGGCAGATCCGCGCGCAGAACAAGCTGTGTGAGCAGAGCTGATGGAAAAGAAACTGCATCGAGGATTCACTTTGATCAGGGCCGAATCTAAGAGGGGAAAACCCGAAGACAACTCTACCACCCACCTTGGAGGAGCGACCAACAAAGATGCTCTGAGATCCCAACAGGAGAGCGGCTGCATTTGCAAGAAGCCACCCTAAATGCTCCTCCTCTCTTGCCTCAGCCTAAATAAAGAGATTAAGAAATTAATCTTTAAAAAAACACAAGAAATGAGCGTTATCAAGTAATAACGTGATTTTGTAGTTTTTTGGGTTTTTTTAAATGAGTTACTTTGAGGTTATCTGCCCGTCCTGGACAGTGCCTGGAAGGTGAACTGCTGAAGGGGAAAATGGATTTTAATCTATTTTCAGTCTGTGATGTTTAACTAAAGATGTTAAACACAACTATTTCTACCGCAGAGACAGCCAGATGCAAGTTACAGCAATGTTTGCAGCACCGGATCCATCCATGGCAACTTCGCTCTAATTTCAGGAAAACAGAAATGCTTAAATCCCGCTTTCAGAAGACACAGGAGGTTTAGGATGCCCAAGCAGCAAAACGAAGCCGGCGCGGTCTCGCCAGACTGCAGCACGTGCAAGGAGAAGGTGGGGCTGGCATGAGCGTGGATTATCGACTGAATTTAATCCTAAACCCTGTTTCTACTCTGATAACTGCATTGCATCACCGCTGCTCCGCTCTCCACGCTAACCAGCTAACTAGAGGTGCACGCCTACTCCCAAATCAGCGCGATCCGGTGGGCAAGAAGCAAAACTGGCTTATAAAAATCCAGCAGAAAAAGAGTCACGCCCAAGAAAGTACTAAAACCGAAGCGATCTGCATTTATTCATGCTCTGGAGTGAGACGATCCGCTCCCCGGGGGTTATCGGGAAGCGATCAGTAAGTAGGAACCAAATGGGATCTACCTCGTCCTCCGGTTTTGGGCTGAACATCCCCCTCCTGAAAATCCCTTGTTCTTCACAGTCACCCCCTGCGGTACTCGTGCCGAAGCGCTGATTCACTCTGCCCGCAGCGGCACAGCCTAAAGTCAACCTTTCAACCCTTCAGAGCATGCAAAAGCGGCATTTTAAAGCAAAAATAAAGTTGTAGGTTTCTTCTGTGGGCATGCCGGAGGAGGGAAGAGGTGGTATTTGGTTTGTAAAGGCAAAACCAAGCCCCAAAATCCAGGATGGGGGTGGTATTGCAGGAAAAGCGCAGAGCTACGGAAGGTAAAACTGAAATCCACTGTTAAGTTGCATCTCTACGGATCCCACCCCAGGATATATTATCTACAAATAGCCTGGAAAAGGCAGCTAGGCTGGAAAATCCAGCAGCTGAAAAGAGTAACTAGCAAATTTGTGGTGGCCAGCACTCCCTTTAATTCTGACCCTGCTGAGCCAGGAGACGGGGATCAACACACGCAGCGACCGTCCCGTGCCTTAAGCGCACAAAAGGGGAGGGAAAGACGTGACATTAACAGCCAGCAGCGCGTCGAACGCTTCCCGACCTCCAAGTTTTCAGTTTTACAACTTAATTAACGATGCTGTAGCCTGTTTTTGTTGATGCCTACGGTGAATGCTGCTGGGAAAAGGCAGCGGTTTCCTCCCAACCCGAGACATTCAGCCCATGCTGTTAAAACTACGCCCACAGCCTTCCCGGCCTCCAGCCCAGCACGTGCTGCTCCCTGCAGGAATAATTTTCCAGCAAAATGACCTTTCTACTTAAAGTTTAATCTGAAAAAGCCCAAGAAGTGGTTTGCTTCCAGCTCTCGTGTTACTAAGCGTTATTTTTGTTTGCGTACACACAGCACGATGAATATTGGAGAGGGCTGAAGAGTATTTGCTCCTCCAGACCTGCTTGGTATCGGTTTAAAATCATGTTTAAATCAACTCAAGTTCCTCTGTTTCGTACAGCTCCCACCATCCTCGATTTCAGTGGCCACAGCTTGAAGCCGTGACCCGAGCCAGAAAACCCAAGCAAGGGGAAACTTCCCGCCCCAAATTCACGCAGGGCGGATGAAAGGGATTCACCCCATCCCCAAAACTCAACGGCGGCACAAGGATAACGCGTCGCGTCCACGAGCATCCCGGGAAGAGCGAAAAACCTCCCGCACGCTACCAACGAGCTGCCATGAAGCCGCTCAAAAATCCCAGGGGATAAACGGGCGGGAGGTCAGTGCATCCTCCTTTTCGCAGGGAGGAGCTGGGAAAACTTCTGGAGAGACAGACAAAGCGAAGGGGCTGTCCATCCGTCTGTCCGTCCCAGGCAGACAGCAACAAAGACCCGTGTACACACTATAAAGAAGCCTCATAAAACATTCCCAGAGATAGTTTAGGGCTGGCACATGCCTGTTTTCCCCATCACGCT